AGTTGCGCCGCCTGCCGTGCCAGATTTCGTAGGGGGCCGTGAAATTACCGTTGGCTCCTGGGCCCGCCTTGGCCAGAGCAACGGAGTAGCACTTAAGGCGGCGGTGAGCGATCTTGAGGCATTCTCCCGCGACGGCCAGCTGGGGTTCGTTCGCATCCAGCGCGGTGATGGCGGTCTCTAGCAGCATTAGCGTTCCTTCGTCGAGCTGCTCCCGCTGCTCGTGTGGTGCTGTCAGCTTCGGTGCGTCATTTGCTTGAACTTCCGTCCTTATTGCTGCTAGCTGTTCTCTTGCGGATGGCATGATGGTCACGTCTTTTGTGATGACAACGTCAGGAGAGCGATCCCGAGGCGGTGCTGTCCGGGGATCCCTGGCTGGCGCTTTTGGCGCGTTGGCCTGCGCTGCTGACAGGACGCCCAGCAGCAGCTGGTGAAGAGTCGGCTGGTCTATGTTCCCGCTCAAAGTATCCCTGGCGGCTTCTATGTCGTTTTGGTTGGCTGGCAGCATCTGGCCCGATCCCCCTTCGCCGGCTGCTTCGGCCGCTCCTGCGTTGACCAGGTTATCTCCCGTTGCCTTTGTCCTCTTACCCGTCATTTTTTGATTTTTGTGACGGAGCTCCTGGTTGTTCCTCGGAGAGTGACAGGTCCGCGGCGATGTCGATTCGTTGTGGTAGAGCGTCGATGAGGCTTGAGGGTAGTCGGTAAGGTCTTGGATAAAAGTGAGAGCAACAATAATAATAAGCTCCAATAGTGTAGGCAGAATGCCGGAACTATGGAGCTGTCAGCTGAAATAGTAAATTCGAATTCTCAGCAAGCCATACGGCTGCCGTACATAACCTAGCTTAGAGGCTATACTCGCTTTGCTCCTGCCGCATCTAAGCTACAATTATACCAGGAGAGATATAGCTTAAGTGCCAACGTATTGATAATAATTCGAGATCATCTTCATAATTAATCCGTCGACGTGTGACATGCGCCAGCGGCAGCTACACCCTTAGCCATATATCCTATATAATAATTAAAAGCACCTGCAACATACAACGTAGGTAGCTAGCGAGGGAGCGAAGTAACCTAGATAGATAAAAAATAGATCTATCAATCAGATAAATTAGGTAGACCGATAAGATAGTAACTAAATCCTCTCCGTGCCATGCCAGGCAGCAGGTACACAAAAGCAGCAGCAGCAGCAGCAGCAGTGGTACATCTATCTGGACAGCCTGTTACCTGAATTTGCTTTACCAGTACGGGCTGTCCGTGCATCAAACGAGGAGCTTTCAGAGCTCGGTCGCCATCAGTAGCTATTCCGGCGAGCTGGCGGGGCAATCACGGGAAGGTATGTAGGTCCAACCGGCAGCCAACATATGTGCCGCAAGCCTGGGACCTTAACCTCTTCCACTAGGAGTGGCATTGTTCGGCGAAAGCAAATGGCTCGCTTACTCCTCCTCCTCCTCCGGCGGCGGCGGCGGTGGTGGTGGTGGTGGCGGCGGAGGTGAGGGGGGTTCCAGTCCAAATGGCGGTGGCGGGCTAGGGATTCCAGGGGCCCTGAGCCGGCGCGGAGAGGGCGGCATCCTTGGCGGGGGGGGGTGAGGGTGGCGGTGCCCTCCAGCGGGGCGGAACCGGAGGTGTGGGAGG